AACCTTCGGAAGATTACTAGATTGGGGGTAGTCTGGTATATATAAGATGGTCACAACGTGACGGGACAATGTGTAGGTAGTAAGTAATTGAACTGCAGTCAGAGAGTATTGTTGAAGTTGAGCACATTCGTTGTTATAGCGCGACTGTTGAAATTAAGTGTATCGTAAAGTTGTATTCGGAAAGAATAAACCAGTTTTATTTAAGAAAGGACTTGTGTCGCTAAAGTTTCGTCGGAACGAATTTACAGAAAATTAACTAACGAATAGAGACGTAACAATATAAATTTAATCTAAACAAACGTTGATATTAAAATAAATATATAATAACAAATTCGTTACAATCGAAACACAACTATGTCTATATGTACCGGGATTTTGATAAAGTACTGAGTAGCAAGATACTTTTCCTCCTCATTGAGCTCATTATTACTTTATGTTCAACAAAAAACTTCATAAAACTTCATATTTACTTTCATAAAGCTGTGTATATATATATATAAATGTTCTTAAGCATATTCCACATCATTTTTCTAGGAATTAACAAAATAGGAAAAATTCGTGCATAAATAACAAATATTCTTAATTTACAACTCTTTTGAATTTTACTAATGATTCGAATAAAAATCCTGTTTTTAGAAGTCTTCGTTTACTCCTAAGAGAAGAGTGAAAACAATTCACAAATACCTGGATAAAATTACATCACGGAAGAACGCTGTAATCACCGTGAGCAAATATAAACACTATTATTTTCTACTAGTAGTCACGCAATTGTGTTATAAGATAAGAAACGTGTGCAAAAATTTGATTTCACAAGTTAATACAAGTGAAATACCCCCATTTCTATTATTCGTTTGATAAGACAGCCCTTTGGTCGAAGATTCGTGTGCACAGAGACACAACATTTAACTAGTTCAGTAAAGGAAGTCTGATGTATACGTTCAAATATTAGATCTTGTCGAATCTTTTTCAAGTGAGTAATTCCTTATTTCATTCACAAAGATACTTTAAACTTTTATTTAAGAAGCTTGCTTAAAAGAGAGCTCCACTTTTCCAGTTTGTTGCCCTTTTCTTTATACAAAACTTATACTATAACTATTTGATTTAAGCACAACGTTACACGATGAACCATCTGTACTGTGTATAACGCGGATGTCGACTCCCAATTTTTAGCGTTCTTACCTCAATTGTTAAAACAACTGGCACTAGCTTTCGCATTATTGGAGATGATTTTTATGTATCATCAAACCACAATTCGCCCGGGGTTCGATTCCTCGCGGTGAACACAGCAGATAGCCTAATGAGGCTTTGCTCTAAAAGAAAACAAAAACAATCTTCAGCTCAAATAAGTTCATGAAAACAAATATCGTATATTATTGTGTTCTATTATATATGAGTTCTTGTTTAGTCAGCGATAAGTTTACGGACTTGCAACGCTAAAATCCAGCGTTCGATTCCCCCGGTGAACAGATAATCCATTATATAGCATCGAGATGAAAAGAAGAAACAAACTAACTGAATATAATCATATTTTTATTTCTTTTAACTATCCAATTCTTGTTATATGACATGTTATATAATTATATGTTTTCAAATGTTTCAATTTATCAAGCTTTAATGTATTCAGATATTCTAAATATTTCAACAAGATAATTCAATTTAGCTATTTGTGTCTACTCAACTATTGCTGACTGAAAATATGAGCATTATATTCGTTATAATAACGATGAAACTGTTTCCCTTGGTCCACAGCTGGCCCAATGGTTAGCATACTGAACTGTGAACCTACGGATTCAATGTTCGTGTCCCGTTACCTCTACAAAAAACCCGATGCCTGAGCGATAATACTCAGGGCTTATAACTCGAAAAATTGGTTTTCGATACCCGCGATGGTTCGAGCCCAGATATCCCATTGTTTAGCTTTGCGCTTTACAACAAACAGAATATCATCACACATAAAAACATCGAGCTCTTTAGTTGATGAGTAGATGAGTTATAATATTAATGGTCAAATTATTTTCTTTGGTCAGACAAGAACAGCCCAAGAGTTGACGGTGAGTGCTATCGATTAGCTGTTTATCAGTTCAAAATTAGGGACCGCTAAAACAGATGGCCTTGAATAGCTTGGTTTCAATATCTGAAAACAAACGTTTCGCTGGGATTTCCAAGATCCATATATCTTCTAGAGCTCATGTCGAATTTCGTAGAAGTGAGAATTGTAGAAACTGTTTACATTTTTCTTTGAGCTTTTGGCAGAAAAATCTTGGATGGACTTACTGCTCTTAGAGCTTCTCATCTAAACCTAGCAACAAGAACAAGGCATAATAACATCATTATGCCCAGTATAACAGTGATTGTTATGCTATACACAACATTTTTTTATAGTGTTAATCTACCTAACTTAAAAGCTTATTTAAATGAAGCACTGGCGAATGCAAAATTCTTCCCGTGCTTAAATATAAACATCAGCAGCCATTAAATGAGAAACGAGATCCTAATTTCAAGCTGTTATAAACTTAGGCTTAGCAGCTTTACTTATCGTATTGCCCCTAATTAAAGCCACCTTTCTAATTATCGCCCCCTCGGTATTTTTATTAAGCTTATCTTCTAATCCAACATATAATCCTCTGCTGTTATCCTCTTTACTACTTTAATGTTGACAGCTACAGTAATCCAACATATAATCTTCTGCTATAATCCACTTTACTACTGTAATTTTGACAGCTATAGTAATCCAACATATAATCTTCTGCTATAATCCACTTTACAACTGTAATTTTGACAGCTATAGTAATGTAATCCAACATGTAATCTTCTGCTATAATCCACTTTTCTACTATAATTTTGACAGCTATAGTAATCCAACATATAATCTTCCGCTATAATCCACTTTACAACTGTAATTTTGACAGCTATAGTAATCCAACATATAATCTTCTGCTGTAATTCACTTTACTACTGTAATTTTGACAGCTATAGTAATCCAACATATAATATTCTGCTGTAATTCACTTTACTACTGTAATTTTGACAGCTATAGTAATCCAACATATAATA